CAGAACAACATGAAAGTCATCCCAAGGAATGAACTGCGGTCCTGTTTGCAGTTTCCAGCTCCGTCAGAACTCAGTTGCAGGACAGCAAAACAGTCTTAACCACATTTTAAACATGTGTTTGGCAGTGTCAAATAACACCGAGCATTATTATGTGAAGGCTGATTTCTAAGCGGATCTCAGAAGACAGCATTATTGGTCAAGGATGAAGCGGCCATGCTAAAAACGATTTTATATGAAATGGGCCATACGTTGGAATTGTAATAATTGTGCAGCTCAAGCGGCCTCATTATTTGTTGTTGTTGTTGTTGTCATCGTCGTCAGGTTGTTGGTATTTGGAATGCATGTTTAAGGCACCTCCAAATGAGACCCTTGGGGAGCAGTTTCCATGGGAGAACAAATATTGAGCGAGGTTTTTTCAATATTCAAGTTCCATACCTCCTCCTGTTCCTGCAGCTCAGCTCTAAGTGAAGCCTCCTAAACCTCCGCTGACTAGCCCTGGTCCACCATCATCATCATCATCTACACCTCCTTGCCTGCCTGCCTGCCCTTCCCTCCATCAGCGTTGTCATTGAAGCAATGCTGGAGACCATAAAACCACTTCCAAAACATGCATTGGAGCTGCACGCACACGCATACACACACACACACGCACGCGCACATAGTAATATACCGCATGCGTGATATTCCTTAAAGAGGAGACGAGCACCGTGGCATGCATAACCAAGCAATTACTTAACAGTCAAATTGGCTCTTGAGCAGTTCAAAGACTGAGGTCCATCCGGAGTCCAAACTGGAGAACATTTTTTTTTTTTTTTTTTACCCATACAGCATGCTCATATGCAATAACAACAGGTTGTGCACAGGTTTGGACAAAAGAGTGGATAGGTTGAAGCGCGGGCGGCCCGGTGGGCCAGTGGTTAGCACGTCAACCTCACAGTGGAGAGGTACTGGGTTCAATTCCAGCTGTGTGGAGTTTGCATGTTTTCTCCGGGTACTCCGGTTTCCTCCCACATTCCAAAAACATGCATAGCAGGCTGATTGAACACTCAAAATTGTCCCTAGGTGTGAGTGTGAGCGCGAAAGGTTGTTTGTCTCTGTGTGCCCTGCGATTGGCTGGTTCAGGGTGTCCCCCGACTACTGCCCGAAGACGGGTGGGATAGGCTCCAGCATCACCCGCGACCCTTGTGAGGATAAAGCGGATCAGAAAATGGATGGATGGATGGGTTGAAGCGCATTTCAGACCAAAATAGAGCTACGCCTGCTCGCAGCTGAATACCAAATTTCCTGTCATTCCCTTTAAATGAGCCAGACTCTTCATTTTAATCCTACAATTTAACACAAACGCATTACAAATCAACAAACTCCATCTTTACAGAATTATGTTGTTATGGCTTTGTTATATTGATTAACCCTTTCAAGGACAGCGGTTATGACAGTGGACACCTCATCATGTTGTCAGGTTGTAGCGTGCTTGAAAAGGTGAAAATGCAGATGAAGTGGCATTTTCTTAAATTCGGCAAATGTGATTTGCAACTTTTTAAGGCTCTGCACAAAGCTCGTTGTCGATGTGCTCATGGTTTTGGTTGCGCTAAAATGCATCATACTAAGAGGTGTGAGTGGTTTGCCTCGCTTACATTTTGTATATAAATAAATGGAGTAACCAAAATGTCTATAAGAGCCAATGCAAGCTATGACAAGCAAATGTTTGGTGAAACACTACATCAAAATAATACCGGGGGTTGGGGGGGGGGGTACAGATCTAATGTTTATTGCACTCATCACAATGAAATTGCTTTGCGGTGCCTGCTGTTGTTGCTATAGTAACATCCACCAAAAACTCAAATGCATGCAGCAGTGTTAATTTGCATGGCGGGACAAGGTGATGTCTTTTTTTTTTTTTTTTTAATGCCAGAAGGAAAAGGTGCAGACAAGAAGAAGTGAGGAAAGGAAAGCTGAGAAACAAAACAGCTATAAAACAAATACACACAATACAAAGAATAATACCCAGTCCGTGTACGTCACACACACACCTGCCTTTCCTCGCTGGCACGCTGAGTAGCTCTGCTTATTTAATTGTATCTTGTGCCTTTCCATCATTACACGCACGCACACACGCAGGCGTGCGTGCGGTGTAGCTTGGACTTTGAAGCTCTCCTGGATCGCCTTTAAAGGCCCCTCGCTGTTGCCGAGCAGACACATCAGACTGCTCAAAGAGTGCGCGCGCGGTGGGGCCAAGTGCTGAATTCGACAGTGAGCCTGACGGGCCACTTTCTCGGCGCTTATCGGCCAAACGAGGCAGCGAATTGACTCCTCACTGATGCTAACAGCGAGCATCGTTAAGGCGCCGCTGCATGCGTCTGCTGTGTTTTGAAAGCTTTGTTGCCGGGCGGATTTTGACAAGCGCAAACATAAAGTGGACAGAGGCATCAAATGCCCCTTTGAGATTTGTACACTGAATAAAAAAAAAAGTGAGTTTTCATGCTCATGAGCACTGTCACAGACACAAAGAGAAAGTAAATCAAAGTACATCCTACGACTCAACTCAATTGGGAACTGATTACATTGTAGGGAGGGGGCGTCGATTCGCTCAGCGGACTTTACTGCATAAGCAAACAGCAGAAACATTTGGAGAAAGAACTGGGCTAAGACACAAAGCGCTTCCACTGATGAGCATCCAAGAAAGAAAATCAAGCCGGGCACAAACTAAATCTCTTTACTCCTCGGAGTTACTATTGAGCCAAACAGTTTGAAATCTCTCAAGGGGGCTGAAGGCACCATGGCTGGACAGCGCACAGCTCGGAGCGGGCCTGAGGTTGTAGAATGCAGGGCTTAGTTGGAGATCAGCATTCTGCTTGTCGTTCCGCCAACAAATCTGTAATATGCTTGTGAACTTCTGTTCATGTTCCGCTTTGTATCGAGAGTGCTCTCGGCTAAGTGGGCGATGTTGTGCTATTTGGGAAGCTAAATGGCAGAGAGAGGAAGAAAGAGAGATACGCATAGAAGAACACGAAAACAAGGGTTTGCAATGTGTCGAATTTATACTTTCAGCATTACTCGTGAATGGCTCCATGTTTAGCAGACAGCCCTCGGACGCGATTTAGTCAATCTTGTGCAACAGAGTACTGTCTAAAAATTGCTAAGGAAGCAGAACTTCCGTCTAGTTTATATGATCGATGTATCATCGTAATGTGAATTATTTTGCATTGTTGTGTATGTTTCGTAATACACATTGAATTATTTCAATAAAGCATCCTTATTTTGGACGATTTAAGGCAAAACACGACTCTCAAACCCCGCCGTACTCAAAAGACATCCTCGAAAGCCTCAAAGGGAATATAGCGCAAGGGCTGCCTTGCTAACCTCCAATCCGAATTCGTAGTGATTTTTCTCCCCCAAAGAATGGATTCAGCACCAAAAACCCTGAAAATTAAATCAATAAATAAATAAAATCAAAGGCTAAATTGTGATGAAAGTTTACATATTAAGCCAAACCTGATAATGTACTATCCCAAATAGAGGCTCTCCTGTTATAGATGCTTGAATCCATTTAAAAGGCATTTTTCCCCCCTACAGAAAAGGAGCAGCAGCCCAACTTTGCAGCTTCACTTCCTAGACACCATCCCTCATAAACAGAGTGTATTGATTTAACTCCACTGCGAACCATCACGGCAGCATCTTGCAAGGTATGATGACATACGTCCCGCTACAAGTTTTGAAGTACGATGATGACATTTTAACCCAGGGGCGCCCAAACTTTTTGGACCGAAGATCGACTTTTCGATCAATCATTTACATCTCGCGATCGACTCGTTCCTGCGCACGCACATACACACGCACGCCATGATGAGCAACAGCCTGACACGGAGGCATGTGACGCACTTTTGCAGCCTGTTAACTATCGTAGCTCACACGTACCGTTTTAGAGTGCTTCCCTCGAAAACACAGGTGTCAAAGTCAAGGCCCGGGGGCCAGATCTGGCCCGCCACATCATTTTATGTGGCCCGCAAAAGCAAATCAAGCATGCCAAGTTCCATGATGCTTGCTAAAGTCTGAACCCAAATTTCAAATTGTCAAACGTAATCCACAATAACAGTCATTATTCTTGACTTCTGATTTTAAAACTAGTTATCCATCGATTTGTTGTGTGCTGTATATGTAATATGTGGAAGTGATCAAACATTCATGTGGTTTCCCAAAATTCAGAACGGCCTTCCAAGGGAAACTGTAAAACCACAATGTGGCCCGTGACAAAAATGAGTTTGACACCCCTGCTCTAAAATCTATACCGTAATTTCTGGACTATAGACCACACCTGATTATAAGCCGCACCACTACATTTTTAAAGGAAAAAAATATTTTGTACACACATAAGCCGCACCTGTGTATAAGCCGCCGGTGCCCATATTGTAACATGAGATATTTACAAAGAAAGACGGTACACAGGCAGCTGTTCGAAAAGTCTTTATATAAGCCGCTTCATGAAATAAGACGCAGAGTTGAAAGCGTGTGACAAAAGTCGCGGCTTATAGTCCAGAAATTACGGTAATTATTATTATAATGATAAAAGATAATGCACAACAGTTCTGATCACAAGCTGCCATTGCAGACTACTGAGCGCTAACAACTTCCGGTGAGGCAGGTCACGCGCCACCGTAGGTTCAAGATTTACCTGCTTTATATTCTTTAATTTTTTTCATACTTTTTGTGAAAATGAGACTGATAGGATGATTAGGGTGCAGTGTACATTAACACAAAAAAATATATGACTAACATGCACAAAGACACACCGATGATTGTTTGTTTTTTTTTCTCCTCGACACCCCTTGCGATCGACTTGGGACCAGTCTGCGATCGATCGGTCGAGCGCGATCGACGTAATGGGCACCCACCCCTGCTTTAACCCTTTCAGGGACAGCGGTTACTACAGTGGACAGCTTATCATGTTATGCATAAAAGGGTTAAGTGGGATATCCATACACCCCAAATTTATTTCTGCGTACCTGAGTGCATCCTCGAGTTTGGTAATCTGCTTCTCGGCCCGTGTCCTCTCTTTCTCCGCCTCATTGTGCAGTGCCAGCACCTGAGAAGAGAGCAAAAGTCAAGAGGAAGGAAATGCACGTGACCTTCCGCACATGGTCGTGTGCCATCAAAAGTAGCCCGTCAGGGCCTCTCACTGTGCAACTATATGGTCGCCACATGGAGGCCTTTTTCATGTCCACGTGGCATTGTTCCTCTGACCGCTGTGGAAATACACGACAGACTGCGCGGAGGTTGTTAGCATGTGGCCTTGACTATATTGGGAAAAAAAAAAATCATCAATAAGACATGACTGGCTTTCATCTCCAGAACGTTCATTTAAGTTCCGCTTGAATTAAGTGTGCGGGGGTCTGCTAAGTTCTTGCAGGTGTATCGGCCAATGGGAGGGTTGCCACACGCACACGCACACACACACACACACACACACACACACACACACACACACACACACACACACTGTACTTTGAAGATGACCCAGGTGCAGTCCAGTCTTTAAACCTGATCTTAAGCGAAAAAGTCTGGTCCAGCTCAGCTCATTAACAAAGGCCACCTTATGAGTGCTTTGAAGAGCGTTTCGTTATGTTAGGAACAGTGCTGCTTGCGATGAGGTGAAACAGGCCAAAATGACACATTCCCCCACGCAAACCATCTTCGTTACGACAAAATAAAAAATGGAAGAAATTGCCCATTCACATAAGGCCTCATGTGTGCACTCCAAGGCAGTTCTTGTGTGTAAGTGGACACACTAGCGCTGTGCTGTTGTGTTTCTCCAATATTTGTTTTGCTCTCAATACAGTTCAGTTGTGAGTTGAGTTGAAACAAAAAAACCAGAGGAAAACGTGACTCCAGACTTTACCCTCCAATAGAGGAAAATGTTTTTGTTTTTTTCCCCAGGTTTGTTCAAGTCAGAGTTGGCTGGATGAGTTTTCATACATGGTGGCACAACGCACCTTTTTGTCGTAGCTGATCTGTAATCCTTCTTTTTCCTCCTGGAACTTCAAAACCTGATCCTGAAGGGAGGCATGGAAGAGTGTGACACATGTTCAATCCCAAATGTACTTATGCGTTGCCTCTCCTTACCCTAACTTGTGTCTGTCGCTGATGTTCACTGACCAGAAGTTGCTGTTTGAGCTGAGCAATAGTTTTCTCAAAATCCTCCACCACCTCGGAGGCCTGCAAGAGAGAAAACAATTTGAGCATGCTCACACCTGAACATATCTATTTTTATTTTATTTCATTTAGGAGGGGTGGGTGGGGTCCTAACTCAGCTATTGCTGCCGGGATTTAATTGCACAAATGATGTAATTGTTGCGGCGTTACCTTAGCTACAGACAGCGCGTGCTCCTGATGTAAATGGTTAACGTCGGCCTCGTGTTTGGCTTGGAACTTCTGCAAGGTCTCCTCAAACAAAATGCGCTGCTCGTCCTTCTCTGTCTGGAGGAGCGTCAATCTGGAAAGTGGGGTTGCATGAAAATGGTGGGAACAATGGTGTCACAAGCGGCACGCGCAGTAGAAAAGCTTAGGGATTCTAATAATGCATGTCATTTCATGTCAATGAAAATCAAAGACATGTTAGGACCAACATTCAGCACTGGAAAGCTCTATCTTAAGCTGGATTGTATTGTATTCCTCTGGCATAGCTCCATCTAGTGGATGCATAACACAACTGCAGCCACTATTGTAGCTTCTATTCTATGTGCCTTATACTGCGGTGCGCCCTCTATATGAAAACTGTTTTAAAATAGGCCATTCAGTGAACATCTCTCTCTCTCTCTATATATATATATACATTTTTTAAAAAATCCTCGTCTCACCCCTCGGGTGGTGTCCATCCCCCATTCAGCTCGGGTCCTCTACCACAGGCCAGGAAGCTTGAGGGTTCTGCGCAGT